ATTTTTGTATCTAACTATACATTTTTATTTATTTATTAATTAGTTACTTTTATTAGTATTTTTATGCATTTATTTATTGTAGTATTTAGTGTATTCTTGTTTACATTCACTTTAGACATAGTGTTTAAATTAATACCTCGCCAACCAGCCATTTTAACCAAGTAATGATTGACCATTGTATCATTACCTTGCTACTGTCCTGTATTCCTGGCATCTCTACTCCCTAGTGTAGTATTATATCGCTGACTCTAATGACACCATAGGAGATAACTGACGTTAACTGGTGGGGTCAGAGCCGACTAGCCTATAGTTACCACTGAAGATTAGATAATGTGTGAGAAACCGATACGCCCTAACTCCATTAACCATGTTCGGTGTTGCCATGGCAGCAGTATGCCTTGTCAGTCATAATAACGCGCACGTCAGTGGGCCCGAGACTGCTCTCAGCCAGTAGCTGTCTGCGTTTAGCTATACTGTAGATGTAAACACAACGTCTTCCAACAGTTCCTCTCTGCCTTTCTTTAGCATACCGACACACTTCGCTGAGATCATCAAAATGCCTTTTGGGAGGATAGAGGCCCTAATTAAAGCATCTGTTTATCCCGGTACTCAACAACAGACACTGGGTCTTAGCATAGTAGAACTTCATAGTCTCCAGTTAACTACAGTCAGTGTGCGCAGTAATACAGGTTAGACCCTCATAATACAACTTTAAAACCACCAGTGACTCACAAAATAGTTCATAAAACAATATCAAGATATTGCATATAATCTGAATGTGTATGTTATTTGTGAGTGCAGTGCACAGGAGAGAGCTGTTGTGAAATAAATTATATATATTTTTTTATTTTTAACATAAAAGGTATACGTTTCTCTGATTGTGGGACAGTGTTATATTTATATATGATACAATAAATTAATAATTTTAATAGTTCATTAACAACAACAACAACACTGATGTGGGTAATTGTATCCATTAAAATGTTAAACCAGTTTGCCCCCCTCCCCCGCGCGAGAAAGAAAACACTTTTCAATTATGCCATGCCAGACTCTGTCTACGAAGCAAAGCGAAGTAGCAGAGTTTGATATTACCAGGCTACTAAAGATTTGGATCGCATTGAAAATGTGACCTAAGTTGTTTTTTTCTCTGGCATAATTTTATATTGGTTGCATTTTTAAAAAAAGAGCATATTCCATCAGTATGCTCTGCTTAAGGATTGTGATATCCAGCTGTGCGATGTTTTTGATGTGGAATTAGTGATGGGGTAGGCTGAAATCCAAGAATCCTGTTTTCTCCCTCTCTTTTCCCACCTTCAGCAATCCCACCCTCTACAGTCACATGAGAGGGTTACGTCTGTCTCCAGAACTTTCTAAATCCAGCGTGACCGCTCTCTGCTCCGCTCCAGGGGGGCTGATTCAACAGCGACTCATCTGTCTGTGGTCAGTGCAGCACTAAATCAGACCTGATGATGTTTGGATGGCATGTCACATGTCTGATGGAATGAGAGATTTTCTGTGTAAGAATTATGGGAAAGTGACAAAAACAGATGTAAATGTCATGCGATGTCAGTGCTGCAGGTGTCCTTATGGGGGAGCAGCAGAGAAGATGAGCTTGTTGAGTGAGCTGTTGTGCAGATTTCACCTTATGCCATTAATAATTCATAGTTGTCAACATATGGCCCTGGGCTAGTGCAGGTACTAGTTAAAGCACTGACACGTTACTCTTTAAAAAAAAAAAAAAATCATACATGATCACTATGTCACACCCATTATAACTGCTTGGTTATGTTCAGTCTCTTATTCTCTCTCTGTGTTATCTTAGTATATCTGGACACAAGTATCTATAGCTTTCTTCTGTGTGTCTTGATTTATGGCCATGTACGTTTGCTGTTGCCAGGCAAGACTTTGTGGGTGTGATTTGGGATGAGGGATAGGGTTTCATTTTTACAAGGTGTTGACATGAGTTATAACACATAGAGTCATCCAGACTGCCCGGCAGCCAAGATTCAACCTAGATACATTGTCCAACCAGAGAGCTTATCACTTCATTCCCCGTTGGTCTTATTAACGTGTTCACGTTGAAAACACACCATAGAGTGTGTGGGTTTGTGTAGATTTCACAGGTGCATGTTAAATCAACACTAGAAATGTGACACACCCTATTGCTCAACTTTATAAAAAACCAACCTGCTTGCACCTGTCCCTTATATGCAAATGGGTTTTGTTCATGCATTGCACACACACACTATCCGTTTACTGTACCCAGAGGTTAAGACTCTTCTTGAGTAAATGCATACAAATAGGGGATGTCATGATTTTCCTTTTTCTGGAACAGAAAATGAGTGCACTGATCTTCGCAGGTGTAATGATTACAGCGACAATGCTAAGGTTGTCAAAAAGTTCTTGATGTATCCTTTAAAGCAATATTTTATTCCAAAAATAGAACTTCTTTTAATCACCCTCACATCGTTCCAAGCTTGTATGACTTTCATTTGGAAAGTTTTTTTTTTTTTCATATATGAAAGACGGGAAACATTTTAAATGTCTTATTTTGTGTTCCATAAAGAAAAAAGTTATAGATTTAGAATGACATGGGTGTGAGGTAAATGAAAGGACTGACCATTGACACAATTCAATATTTTTAACCCAGCCCTAGTTAAGTGATGACTGAATTTTAATTTTGGGCTGAACTATTCTCTTAATGCAGTGGTTCCAAACTTTTTACACCCCACCAACATACACCCACATAAAGACATTCTCAAACATGACCTTGCTTGCAAAATCCTACAGGATTTATTTGAAACATTGTAAATAATACAGTACTACAACAAATCAACTTCAACGGGCTTCTCATTGCATTTGTAATGTGAAATCTCTAAGTGGCATCTTAATTTGCTCGGCTTCATTCTGTCAGAAGCTAATATTTTGAGACCCACAACAGACTGTGGTCTGGTCTCTCTTCATTACCCATCATTGTAATGGTGAATCTGAGGGCGAGATATGCCTCATCATATTACCTTTTCTATAAAATCACTATGTCTACACGCCACAGGATGTGACAAAGAAAACGTAGCAGATCCATTTGTCCCTTGTGTCAGAAGTTGCGTGAGCTCTTGCCCAGAAATAGAACTTCAGGAATGTGTCATCGTGCCGCACCGCATCCAGTGTAGAAAGCATCACTGATTATAATTGGTTTCTATTTGCTTTTGTCTGGTTTAGACGCGTTGTTTTGGTAGTTGTTGTTTGCAGTAGATTAATTGTCTACTTTTGTTTACCTGGCACTGGCAGTCCTTTCACAAACTTGTCCATGCTTAGTGCAGAATAATGCAATGTCATTCGCTTAAATTTTTACACTGCCCCCTGCAATACTCAATTCTTCAATTGCGCAATCTAGTAGTGGTCTGTTATTTTATGATGACAACTACCACAACTGATAATAGACCACTCAAGCTATTACTGATTTGAGAGCTACAGCAGAAGGCAAGGTTTTTATTATCATTATGATTATTATTATTATTATGGCATTACATTTATAATTATTTTTGACATTACAGTGGTGTTGCTTTCATTAAGGCCCACCCCAAACTGTTGCAACATAGTGCTACGTCGTACAGTGACATTCAAAAAACGGTTTTGTTTAGCTAAAAATAGTAATGTTTACGTATGCGTCTTACGTATAATAGTGCGCACACACCAGTTTTTTACATTTTACAACAATAGTAAGTTCAGCAAAACTATGAAATGACAAAAATGGAAGTATGAGAATAATGTTGTGACCGTTGAACTAATAAAAAACATCTATCACAGTTTAACCTTATTTTTGCCACCCTTTGCCTAGAATAGATTACAGCTCTACACACATAATTTATGTATGTTGGGCACTTTTTCTTTTGACCTTTCTGTCACTACTTTGTTAACTTTCTCAGTTTCGCAAAGTAATCTCTGTCAAAAAACTAAATTTAGTAACTTTATTTCAAGTTTTAAACGATAAATATTTATTAATATAATAGTCAGTCAATGGTGTCCTACCGAACAGACATGTAATGAATATTTTTTATGGTCTTGTTCTTTAAGACTTTTTTTGGCACTGAATTACAGTTGCGAGATGTTTATAGTCTATTCACACAGTGTCCTCTGCAAAAGACAAAACAAAACCGAAATAGTCCTCTCTCTTACACATCCACACACTCTCTGTTGTGCCTATTTAAGGGACTAGACCCTATATGCATCCATTTCAGTTTCATTGTTTCTATGGGGCCGAGCAGGTTTTGAGAGTCGATACCCAACCCAGCACCCCCTTATGACATGCTATATGTGTGGGTATTCTCACATGTATGCTGCTGTATCGGTGGGGGTAGTGGGGCATTTTAAGGAGTAACTGAACTCCCTCATTGGCACTGGTGTGAAAATTTAACACGTCCCTGCTGCCTTTTGAATCGCTTTCAAATCTCTCATCTACCAAATTAAAAGCTGACATCTTGCCTTTGGTAAAAGATCTTTTGCGTAGTGTTTGTCTTGCAGATACAGAGATGGCAGGGGGCGATAGTAAACAGGCTTCCAGGCTCCATATGCCAGACAGTTGATTGTAAAAAGCCGACACCTAATCCTGCTACTGTGTGCTTCATCCGTCAACTCAGACCCCTCCCGGCGAAAGGCTGGAAGCGTCTCGTCAGACCGCCAGATGATGACCTGGTCTGGACCTGAGACTTTAATCTCCCAGAGATTAATGGTTGTGGCTTTATGTGCGGCCATGGCTGCGGAGGGTGATGCAGTCAGCACTGAGGTACCTCTCGTTTGGCTGGCCTTGTTGCTCACGGGTGTCACTGTAACGGTTACTCATGGACTAGATATGCTAGGATGGTTTATTATTAGCAGTTCTACCTCAATCAGTCATTGGAGGAAGATCCGAGGGTCAAAAATAAAGAGGTAACGGCTTGTCTGCGTGCTGTTTACAGGGATATTTTAGACCTGGAAGAGCTCACATATTTACTACCAGAGGTTGAACAACCTTGCCATTTGGCATAGAGGAGCAAAGAAGATCGAGTCAGGAGAGGAGCAGGGAACTGAAAGCAGCCTAGCTTTAGAAGATAGAGCCTGTGCAGACAGGAGGACGGTCTAACAGAGAGGGGAAGAGATAGACTCAACCCCGAAAGGAGGAGCTGCTGTCCCGGGGCTGGTCCCTGCGCTACAGCGGCTCTCTCTCTGTGTGTTTGCATCGTTTCTCATGCCGTGATGAAGTCTCGGGGGGAGGCTGTGGGCTGGAGAGAAGTTCGAGGACTCTGCCGAGGTTTCTGGTCCCCCTGCGAGGCGCTGGCTGCCTGCTGGAGAGGGGGATTCATCTGAAGACCACACACACACACACACACACTCGCTGGCTGAGTGTTCATTTTGTCGGACAGGCAAAAGAAGAACTTTTTCTTATTTCTGTACTTCTCCAGACCACTGCAAAAGGACCGCCAAGATGAGTCGATGGCTCAAATGCACCTCCATGTACTTTGTAGGTATCAAGAAATTCTTAGTAGGGATTTCCCCTTAAACTTTGCTGTGCTCTGTTCTTTTTGTCTTCTATGCACAGGCTGGAGGGAGAGAGGCTGTTATTTCATTGTGTCTGTCTGTGTGTGTGTGCGTGCTTGTTTTGTCTCAGTGTAAGAGAGTGACTTATAGCTATCTCCATGAATTCAAGGAATCCAGGAATGCTGCAGCATTCTTTGGAGAGTGAATTGTTGCTTGAGATCTTTGGAGCTTAGAGGTCTTTTGAACAGTGTGTCAACTTGTGTGATCATGCCAGGCTTAAAAGCATTTTTTGTTGATGCAGTAGTTTTACTTTTTCTTTTTTCCCCTCACATTATTATTATTTGGTTTGCGAAATGTCTATTAAGACAAAGTATTTATTTCCTCTGATGTTGTTTTGATATACCAGTTCTTAACTTTCCCAGGTGTTTATTGACATTCAGCATCAAATAAACCAGATGCAGATTTCAGAAATAGTATCATATATTCATGTTTCCCATACTCCTTGAAATGGGACTTTATCGAAGGTATGCACATTAACACGCACACAAAAAAAGAAAAGAAAAGAATGACTATGTAGAAATAGGGAGTAATTTTTCTGTACTTCATAACCATTACCTTGAGAAAATAAAATCAGGCCTATGGGGGTCTTGCACCATTTAGTAAATAGTAAACCCATTTTTCCAGTTTATGGTTGACTAATTCTGTCATCCCTTTTTATTTTGCAAAGATATAAAGCCTTTTCATTTCCTTCACGCATTTTATTTCCTGTTGTGCCTTTTGAATATGTGGTGTACAGGAGTTGTTCACATTCCTTCATTCAGCTAATTACACTAGCGATCGCCACCCTGATCATTAGAGGACTCATGAACAATAGGTGTCACATCTGCAGTTTTATTGAACATGACACTGCTGTCTTTGTATATATGCTGATGTTATGAATGTGCTGATCTCTCTCCTTCTCTCTCTCCTTTAGAACACAGACTGGAATAAGTATGATGACAGGCTGATGAAGGCAGTGGAGAGGAGAGAGGTGGACAAGGTTGCAGCAGTGCTTGGCAAGAAGGGCATCATCCCTACCAAACTCGATGTAGAGGGCCGCTCTGCGTAAGTTCCTGTCTCTATGGATGGGTCACAATTGTTGAATTGTCATCCAACAACTGACTAGGCTATTGTTAAGGTCAACTAGTTTATCTAGATTTTTTGTATGTGCGTTTAAGAAAGCGTGTCAAGTTAAACAGTCCTACATTTCAAAACCTTTTTCCAGAACCCTGTATTCTGATCCACTTCTTTACGTTCTGTCTTACTGGTTAACATAAGAACACGTCCCTAAGAAACGTGGCCTCTCTTGGCGGGATTAACCCAAAACCAGCCTAATTGTACAGGACATCCTTAAGACAGATTAATCGACTAGGCAGCATACACGATTTAGTCTGCTTTGAATATTTGTCATTTTGCACATCCTTGCCTGTCACTTACAGTACAGAAACTGCAGGATTATTTATAATAGTTTGTCATCTTACATACTTTCACACTCTTTAGGTCTGCGTATTTCTTAAACCTGTAATAAAGTACATGTAATATAGACACAGTAGTTTCTGTAATAGTATAGACACAGTTGTGTTCAAGAGTTTTCATTATAGGAAAAAATGTATATAATTTCTTGTCTTGAATATGATCTTCAACTAACCCGTTCAATATATTACACTGCTTTATCATGCAGCAGGCTGATTGTCACTTCATTAGCATGTCTTGCCCAAGGGTATTTATTTATGCATATATTTGCATTTGTTTATACTGTTGTTTGTTTTTATTTATGCTTTTATTTTTCATTTTTGTTTTATTATTAGTACCGTAATGATGATGATTAAAAAAGTATTGAGTACATATAAGATCTTTTTTTTTAATTGGCACTTTCTTCAATATTGGTTATAGAGGTGTGCTTGAGAGCATTGTGATCAACTTGAAATGCTTTGGTTTTTACAGAAATTGCTAGGCCTATGTTTTTGTCCAATCTGGGCTGAGGCATTTTGTGCCTGACCAAGGGTTTAAGTTAAGATTGGAAAACATGTGGTCAGAGAAGCTTGACCAGGCGCAGAACAGCATGGGCCTCCTGGGCTGGAAGTGGGTCTTCAGTGAGTAAATCTGTGCTTGTGTAGTCCTACACTGACTAAATTTAGGAGCTAGGAGTTTTTTTCCTTCCTAAACTGGCATGTTAACTGCTGTAATCTTCTGAAAGCTCCCAGTCCAGAGAGCTTTAGATGATGCCTCTTTATTTTGGGATGAATGCAAGAAAAGTATTTTAAGTTAGAGGTGATTCGTTGAACCATCTTATTCAGTATCCCTAATTGATGTTCCATATTATTAAATGACCACACAGTAGACTTCGACAGATCAATTGCGTCTTTTCCTGTTTTAGAAAGCCAAGCTGGCCTCCCGTCCATCCCTGATGTTTTTACTCATTTGACATGGTATATGTAGGGCATAGATGGACTCATTTCAGCTTGATTTAACCACAGCTTTGTTTCATTCCCTCATTTAGTCCATAAGATTCCCCTTTGGGTATTTTTGTCATAGTGTGAGATTCTTCTTGCTCGGTTGGGTGGAGATGAGCTTGACTTGTAATAAGGTGCTAGAATTTCTCAGGACTAAATCAAGTGCATTCGCCGCCGTCACAGTCGTCGAGTCGGCCTTAGTGTAACAGAGCTCAATTAATAAACACCAGCTTGTTATATGAAACATACTTGTGGACGGTCTGTGCGCCCTAATGGCTGCCAAATGACCTGAACATGAGCGTATGTAGCCTTTTTGTGTATAGTCTAGTAGTGGAATACACAGGTCACATGACTTTGGATTTGTGGAAATCCTCTGTTCATATATAGCAGGACCCCACATGCAGACTGCATCTCCAGCCTGTTATTTTCCTCACCAGTCAGAATAGCTCACAGGGAGGGCAGACCACAGGGCTTGTAGGGTGTAATCCAGTAGTTTGGGTGGGTAAATTGGTAACCTGCATTAGCGCAGCATTTTTGCCTTGTGGGCAGATGGAAATGAGCAGATTTCGCTGTGTGTTTATGTATAAAGAGGAGTATGGCATGAAATACACCTGGTTGACAGAGCTTGCTAATGGATGGTTAGTTCACAGGAAACATAGACAAAGCCTTCCTGCTGTGACCATGACTTTTGTTTCTTTAACACACCCACTTTTGAAAATAGATTTATCCAAGATCTGCAATTAAAACTTGACAAGTGCCAACTGCCAAATGAGAGCACAATTGATTTTGATGAGTACCGTAAATAAGTTGACCAGTAACTTCGTTAGGAACTGAAACATAATATATGGTTTAAATCAAATCGCAAAAATGGTAATCTGGCCCTCGCTGATGTTAGTGAAGTGTCTTTCTATTACAGCTCACACATTTTCTAGTTTGTCAAAGATTACAATAGAAAATAGACAAATGTTACAATAGCAACATCTAGCAATGACAATTTGCTTGTCATACCCAAGTATAAACTCTCTACTGTGGGTGGTAGGGCTTTTAGTGTTATAGGCCCTAAGCTATGGAATAAGCTGCCCCCTAATCTTCGTGCCACCCCTAACCTCCAGACCTTTAAATCTCAATTTAAAACTCATCTATTCACCATGCTCAGTAAATAATAATTTTCCTCTATACTTCTGTCTTCCACTTTTTCAGTATTTATGTTACATGTTTACTTTATCGAAATTGATGTTTTCTCTGATTCTATAACTTCTCATGTTAATTATTTGTAGTTATTTGTTTTCGGCTTGTTTTATTGTTATAATAAGCAGATCACTTGTCTCTTTGTCTGTCAACTGTTTGTATTATTTTGTGAAGCGACCTTGGGTTCTTGAAAGGCGCTATACAATTATTATTTATATTATTATTATTTTTATTATTAATAGAAAAACAATGAAATAATTCCTTTTGGCAAAAGGGAATTTTTGTTGTTGTTGTTTATTGGAATTTTGCCTTTTAACATGCTGTATGACAGCTGAGAAGCAACAGAAATGTACAGGAAAAGAGGGGGAAGGGAAATGGGTCTGGGACGTGTCCCTGAGTCCTGACTCAAAACAGTGGTGTTATTGTTGACTAAACCTAAAACGATTAAACATTTCATTTTCGGGAATTGAAATTTGTACCCAAAATATTAAGTGAAAAACTTAAAATTAGAAATGCTGCCTTGACAACTAACTGCAATAAATAATACAGAAATATATTGGAATGAAAACTAAAAATTTATAAATGCTGTAATAGTACAGTCTATTCTATACATAATACTAAAAAAAACAGGCCTCCAGGTCCCTAGAAGTGCAACAATTCTTTATTTGATCGTATTTTGGAGTAACACACTACCCCATATATTAAAGGCCAAACTTTTATTATTATTATTATGAATATTATATTGGAAACTAATGCAAAATGCATGACCAGTAAGGAATGTATATCACTAGTGCATTTTCTCAAAGTTAATTTTGGACCCTGAATATCCACAGAAATTTCTCTGGAAGATCAGATCATTATTTTTGAGTTACTGCTAGGCTGCTAGAGGCTTTTAGTTACCAATGAGTCTTGTGTTCATTAAAGCATTCAAATTCCTAATGCATTCCACATTTATCAGATATTCAGATGTTTTGAAATGTCTTTTGCTGAACTGCAGAGATTCTGGTGACAGACTGGTGCAGCATGCAAAAGTCTTGTTTTGAATTCAAACTGCCCCCCACTCCACCTCTCTGGCACCTCTAAAAATACATAATGTATCTTGGAGCTGCAGATATGCGAGTCAGCCAAGGAGTTGGAGCCAAGCTAGAATGACATGTCTGGGTCTTCAGGACCATCTGAGCCCTTCAGTCTCTTCTAATCGCCAAGGGTCACTTACCATAATAACAGCCACCTTCTTTCCATATACCTAACGTTATTGCATTTAGTCGTTTTTAGCTATGAAATCATATTTGCAGGAACCTGCAAGAGCAATGAGCTATGGCTCCCTTTTGGCTGAAAAATGTTAAAAAAAATTTGATTAAATTTGAAAGAATCAAATGTAAGTTTATAGTAGTTGGGCAAATGTTGTTTTGATGGTTTACAAAAAAGCTATCATAACTAAGTTTCAAAAAGTGATTTGCACTAGGTATTTGAGAGTCACCCCATTGCTAAAACAGTATTAAAAACACAACATCTTTTATGTCCTCAATTCTAATAAGTCAATTGCCATGTCTCCATGGGTGGTTGTTTGGGACTGAGTGTGGAGTTATCTACAACTTCACACATCAAACTTCAGGTCAGGGATCTGTCTACATGTTTGACTTCTCACCATCAACATGGTCTTAAATACCGGTACACTTTTCAAACAAAGGTGAACATCTGCACATCTATCTTTACAACATGTCTCAGAGGACATTCTCACCTCTTTAAACTGAGCTCAAAGTGCTGATTTTTATCCATTCTGAATCTTTCATGAATGTGAATCAGTTAAATAGGAACATCATCTTGCATCTAAAGCAGTTATAGACACTTTAAGCTACATGGCCAGCATTACAATAATGGAAGTATGTTAATATGAGATATGTATGAATAAGAAGTATGCTGCTTATGTAATGTAAAGTGAAGGGTTTTGCGTGCAGATGTATTTAAGGGGAGAGAGATTTTTTTTCTGATGGTAGTCCTTTCCTCCTCTATAATGCTGATGACGGGTGCAAGAGCAGGCCAGGCATCAATTTTCAGCATTATCTGTTTTTCTCTCTCTTTTTCTCCAGGTTCCATCTTGCTGTCTCCAGAGGACATCTCGACTGCCTGAGTCTCATTCTCAATCATGGTGTGGATGTCACAGCCACGGATGCCACAGGTGAGGATGTTGCTCTAGATGAGTGTGTTCACCTAGCTCATGAGTTGGTTTACCAGAGAACACACATAATGATAAAACATATCAGAGTCATTTTGTGTAAGAGTGTGAATTTCCTTAAAGGGATAGTTCACCCAAAAATGTTGTTGTACCAAACCAATAAGACTTTCATTCATCTTCGAAACACAACTGAAGATATTTTTAATGAAACCTGAAAAATGTTTGTCCCTTCATTGAAACTCTGTTCCACCAAAACTTTAACGATTTAAAAAGTTAGTGAAGAGATCGTAATAGTTTTAAGTTAAGTTTTAAACTGAAGCTTAAATATGAGGATGAGGTTTGTTCTCTTGTATCACACAAGCAACACAAAAGTACAGGAAGAGAGAGTGGGAACGTGACCCCAGCAGGACTCAAAACAGTGGTGTTATTGTTAACTAAACCTGAAACTATTAAAAATGTAATTTTGGTAATTGAAATTTGTACATAAAATATTAAATGAAAAAGTTACATTTCAAAAATGTAAACTAAAATTATAAATGTTGTCTTGGTAACTAACTGCAATACACAAATATATTGAAATGAAAACTGAAAATATAATCAATATATTTTTTTTTATAAATGCTGTAATAGTAAACTCTATACATAATACTAAATTAACAGGCATCCAGGTCTATATAGAAGCACAACAATTCTTTATATGACAGGATTTGGGAGTAACACACTTCCCCATACCTTAACCTTAACCTGGCCTTGCCCAGGACTTCTATATTATTATTATTATTAGTAGTAGTAGCATTATTATGAATATTATATTGGAAACTAATGCAAAATGCATGACCAGTAAGGAATATATTTCACTAGTACATTTTCTCAAAGTTCATTTTGGACCCTGAATATCCAGAGGAAGATTAGATAAATATTTTTGAGTGACTTAATGTTTTGCGGCTGCTAGAGGCTTTTAGTTACCAATGAGTCTTGTGTTCATTAAAGCATTCAAATTCCTAATGCATTCCACATTTATCAGATATTCAGATGTTTTGAAATGGCTTTTGCTGAAAGGAGCTTCTGCATTCTCACATGTCAAGCAAATATAATTTAGCTTCCGTTTACCATATCTGATGTGCTCCATGTAAGTGCATTGATCAATGTTTATATGTGAATAAAGGCCTATATTAAATCTGTTCATGGTATATAAAGTGATTGTATTTATTAAGAAGACTCGGATTGATCTTTTATTTGTATAGATTTCTTTTACGATCTCTTTTTTAACATTTTGGTGGAATGGACTTTCAATTGAGGCACATAAATCTCTGTTTTCATAAAAAAATATCTTCATCTGTGTTTTGAAGATGATTTTTTTTTTTTTAGTTTGGAACAACGTGAGTGAATTTTCCATTTTTGGTGAAAGTTTTTATTTTTATTAAATTTTTTATGTAAATGGTGGAGAACCAGAGAGTGAAGAATTGTGTTGACAAACAAGCCATAAATATGTCATTATCAACTGATATCTATAGAAGAATTGTTTTATGTAAAATGGGATTAATGTGGTGTGTTTTTGTTATACTCTCACTGTTGACATTTGTCTATACAAGCAGTTAAGATTGGTTCATCTGAAACACTTTTGTTACCTAATGGCTCCTATAGATTTGTTGTTTTGTTCCTGTAGGAAAAAATGCCTTACACCTGGCAGCCAGAAATGCCCAGTCATTGTGCGTGCAGAAACTACTCCAGGTAAAGCTGTTTTCACAGTCAACACAGTTGAAAGTAGAGCATAGAAACTCAATGTATTTGTGTGCTCTTTTTTTTTTTGAAGCCAGACAATTTCTGCTCTATTGTATCCTCTTTTTGATGTGGAGGAAAAAGATTGAATCTCATTTTTAAAGTGAGGTTTTCTGAGGACTGTGATATGAACTTCAGAAAGGATTATTTGCAGTCTCTATTGTAGGGCTTTGCCAATACAAACATACAGTGAGGAAAATAGAAATCATGGAGGGGTCTGAAATTGTCATCGTAGGTGCATGTCCACTGTTAGAGACATACTCTAAAAAAAAAATCCAGAAATCACAATATATGATTTTTTAACTATTTATTTGTATGATACAGCTGCAAATAAGTATTTGAACACTTTTTGTCTATCAGCTAGAATTCTGACCCTCAAAGACCTGTTATTAGTCTGCCTTTAAAATGTCCACATTTATTATCCTAAATTAGATGCACCTGTTTGAGGTCGTTAGCTGCATAAAGACACCTGTCCACCCCATAAAATCAGTAAGAATCCAACTACTACATGGCCAAGACCAAAGAGCTGTCCAAAGACACTAGAGACAAAATTGTACACCTCCACAAGGCTGGAAAGGGCTACGGGGAAATTGCCAAGCAGCTTGGTGAAAAAAGGTCCACTGTTGGAGCAATCATTAGAAAATGGAAGAAGCTAAACATGACTGTCCATCTCCCTCGGACTGGGGCTCCATGCAAAATCTCACCTCATGGGGTCTCAATGATCCTAAGAAAGGTGAGAAATCAGCCCAGAACTACACGGGAGGAGCTGGTCAATGACCTGAAAAGAGCTGGGACCACCGTTTCCAAGGTTACTGTTGGTAATACACTAAGACGTCATGGTTTGAAATCATGCATGGCACGGAAGGTTACCCTGCTTAAACCAGCACATGTCAAGTCCCGTCTTAAGGTTGCCAATGACCATTTGGATGATCCAGAGGAGTCATGGGAGAAAGTCATGTGGTCAGATGAGACCAAAATAGAACTTTTTGGTCATAATTCCACTCGCCGTGTTTGGAGGAAGAAGAATGATGAGTACCATCCCAAGAACACCATCCCTGCTGTGAAGCATGGGGGTGGTAGCATCATGCTTTGGGGGTGTTTTTCTGCACATGGGACAGGGCGACTGCACTGTATTAAGGAGAGGATGACCGGGGCCATGTATTGCGAGATTTTGGGGAACAACCTCCTTCCCTCAGTTATAGAGCATTGAAGATGGGTCGAGGCTGGGTCTTCCAACATGACAATGACCCGAAGCACACAGCCAGGATAACCAAGGAGTGGCTCTGTAAGAAGCATATCAAGGTTCTGGCGTGGCCTAGCCAGTCTCCAGACCTAAACCCAATAGAGAATCTTTGGAGGGAGCTCAAACTCCGTGTTTCTCAGCGACAGCCCAGAAACCTGACTGATCTAGAGAAGATCTGTGTGGAGGAGTGGTCCAAAATCCCTCCTGCAGTGTGTGCAAACCTGGTGAAAAACTACAGGAAACGTTTAACCTCTGTAATTGCAAACAAAGGCTACTGTACCAAATATTAACATTGATTTTCTCAGGTGTTCAAATACTTATTTGCAGCTGTATCATACAAATAAATAGTTAAAAAATCATACATTGTGATTTCTGGATTTTTTTTTTTTAGATTATGTATCTAACAGTGGACATGCACCTACGATGACAATTTCAGACCCCTCCATGATTTCTAAGAGGGAGAACTTGCAAAATAGCAGGGTGTTCAAATACTTATTTTCCTCACTGTATATCAATGTGTCCCGGTTCTTTTTCTCACTATATTGTCAATATTTCACGTCACAATTTTTATAATTATATATTTGCACGATTTACTATGACTCGTATCATTCCCTGAAATTCAAGCACTTTCTAAACTATATCATTCAGCGCAGTTAAAGCTGTACCTTTTGAGATGCAGTGCTGAAAAGTAAAGCAAACAATACAATTGTGTTACATAGCAATATGTTGAATCATAACATACTGGTACATCGGTACATTTGAGAAATATATATATATTTTTTTATTTGAATATGTTTTAAAATATAATTTATTTCTGTGATACAAAGCTGAATTTTCAGCATCATTACTCCAGTCTTCAGTGTCACATGATCCTTCAGATATCTTTCTAAAATGCCGATTTGATGCTCAAGAAACATTTATTGTTATCAATGTTAAAAACAGCTGTGCTGCTTAATATTTTTTGTGGAAACCATAATATATATTTTTAGTTTTCTTTGAATATGCTTTTCAAAGGAACATGTTTTTTGTGAAATTGTAAATGTCTTAACTATCACTTCTGATCAATTAAATGCATCCTTGCAGAATAAAAATATTAATTTATTTTAAAAAAAATGCTATTCAAATTTTAACTTTTGAACTGTATTGTATGTATTCTAATTGATGCATTGTATCATAGGACAATACCCAGCCCTACTTCATTGTCACCTGTGTGTCAATGGAAAGGCAGCAAAAAGTTTACAAACCTTTATTGGTATTGGCAAGCCTCCAGCCCACATGCTCATAAACAAAGTCAGTGCTTATTTCACAAACTAATAAACTGATGACCTGAACGCAATTGCATAATGCTGAACCTGACATTGTGGTTATGGGACAATTATGCTGTTTGAAGGCAAATTGGGCAGAGCTTGTTTACAGATACGGTTTAATTTGAATCAATTAATCCACAAACACGTTTTGCAAGAGGGTAAAACTCAAGATAATTAAGATAAGAAATGATTCCTATCACTTGCTTGTTGATGACTCCAACAACAGCCTCTTTGTTGCAGTGATTTGTTGGTGTTAATTACTTGTACCACAGGGAGCAAAATTAGAAAAGTCTGACTAGACTAATTATGTAAAAATGAATCTTAATATATAAAAGTTTGTGTAACTCTTGTTTTTGAAATCACTGGTGCAACACATTTAGCTGCCAGCTAATGTGAAGCGTAATCCACCATAATGCTCTGCCAGTGTTCTGACTGCGTAATGCTTATGCAGACAAGATTGAGTGGCTGGATGAGAGTATTTTCCGTGTGTCTGCAGTGTTGACAGGCTGCCCATATTGTAACCTGCAGTCTATATTTCTAATGCCGTCATCATGTGCTATCTGAGCCTGGCTCCTAGAGCCCATCAGATAGAGTTACCCAGGACACAGTTAGCCAGCAGGACCATGTGACCTTGCTACTGGTTTTGGAGGCTGTTGCTAGAGTATAAGGGGTTTTTATAGTGACTGAAGTCAGAGGAGTTGTTTTGTTAGAGGTAGCAAAAAGCAGTACAGAAAGTATTGGGCTTGAGAAAGTAGGGCAGAGAGTGCAATTTGGAGAATAAAAATGATTTTAGAAATAAGGGCACAGAGAGTGGTGGGATACAGACCACTGAGGCCAGTATCTTAGCAACAGTCTCATTTGCTTGACCTGGTTTCAGTTCTTGGGTCCTGAATCATTTCAAAGATTCAAACTAGAGTCTTACGCACCCGTGTCTTTCTGGTCCATTCTTTGTTTTTGTGTTCATATTTTAAAAGAAATCAGTCATCAGGGATGTTTTTCAAAGTTTAGACTCATCCTCTGACCTTTTAAAGCTTAATAGCCATAAACTGTTGAATGGCCTGACAGCGTGTGACCAGTGTTTTGTGTTTCAGCACAATTGCCCTGTGGGAAATGTGGACCTGCAGGGAAGGACAGCCTTGCATGATGCTGGTAAGCCAAAAGCTTTGTACATTTTAAGGTTTTGTTGGAATTGAACTCTGCAGTCCTCTCAATTCAACCTGATTTGGGGGCTTCCCACTCCTTCCACTTTCCTTGCGTTTCCATTCCTCATTTGTAGTGCCTCCTTCAATGAGTAGTGAATCAGAGGATGGAGGCAAGGGGTAGTGGATGAACGTTTGAAAGGGATTCTTTGAGGCAGAACCAGTCGTAATCAATAAGATGTAGTTCATGGAATTATTTTCCTTTCCTCAGAAGGCTTTCATGTAAGATTTAGAGCTCTTGCCCAGTGGAGTGTTTGGATTATTTATTCATAATTTTTTTTTTTTATTAATATTTTTGAGTGTGATGTCAGATGAGTCTACTGAATCTAATTCAGATGCTTGGGGTAAATGGTTAGGAATATTATTATTGTTTGTCTTTTCAGTTATGGCCGGCTGCTCCTCCAGCGTGAAGCTGCTATGTGACAGCGGGGCATCAGTTAATGCCAGCGACTTTGTGAGTTAATATGTGGCGTGTGGGATATTTAATATACTGATAACTTTTTTATATTGTCTTAATTTTTCCTGGACAAATGTTCTGTATTTATTTCCCCTCAGATGTACTTTATCCTCAAATGTTCTCTCTGATTAGATTTTTCTGTTTGAGTTTATGCAAATGTACACTTCTATGTGTGTGTGTTTGTAGGATGGTCGGACCCCATTAGTGCTTGCCACTCAAATGTGTCATCCACACATCTGTCAGCTGCTGTTAGAACGAGGAAGTGACATCACAGTCAGAGACAAACAGAATAAGTAAATATTATCACATTCATATTTCTCTTTTCTTGTTTTTCTTGCCATGCATGCTTTATTCAGATATTGAATTCTCTGTTTTCTCTTTATCTTTATCTAACTTTATTTTGGGGTTAGATAGCTTTCCTGTAGCTCAAACAGTAGAGCGTTGGCGCTTGCAATGTCTAGGTCATGGGTTTGATCCCCAGGGAAAGCAAGAATGTGATGCAAGAACTGATAAGAATGTAAAAATGTGTACCTTGAAATGCAATGTAAGTCGCTTTGGATAAAAGCGTCTTATAAATGTAAATGTTTTAATTTAGTAGTTGGCACAGCCATTTTTTTAAATTAATGTGCAAGGCTTCTGGTGTCAGCCGCTACCAGTTATTTCATGCTACTTTTTTTTTTAAATCATATTTTAATTTATTATTGTAATCATAAACACATTGGTTTGTAGCGCAAGCAGTTTTACTATTAACGGCATCTTGTTATTCATCCAGTTATTTACCTATGGCGGCTAATTAAATCACGTGTTCACAGGAAATAGCTTACTTTTGTGTTGGGGACATTTAAAATGTTTTTGTGTTGTTCTTGTCTTAATTTAGAGAAATCACAGATGCAATTTTAGTATTTTGATGTCATTGTCAGTCCTATTAAAGATGTGTTTGTCTTTGTTCACTCAGAACAGCGTTGATTCTGGGCTGTGAATATGCGTGTAAGGATGCTGTGGACGTTTTGTTGAAAAATGGAGCTGATGTCACTGCTGTGGATGGTTACGGCCACGACAGTTATCACTATACTAGACTCAGCAAAAACCAGGAGCTTGTCTCTCTTGTCAAGAGTTACCTGGACAGTGCCACAAAAGGTTTTGTTATTTCTTCCTGTTTTTATGAAATCTCTCTTTCCCATATGTGAGCAGCACTGTAGAGCAGTGCTTAAAATCTTAAATTGAAAGGAATTAAAATGTACCTCAAACTGAATTGCCCCAACACTATTCAAAATTACTAACTTGACATAAACTGAAATGGAAAATGTTGGTAAATGCATGAACAACAAGATTCACCAGCCAAAGACATAGAACGAACACGGGACCAAATATTGAATTAATATTAGCCATATTACAATAGTGACTGTTAACTGTGTCCAGAGATTGTAAAGTTTGATTGAACGCACAATTTTATGGTTGTTGTATTTTGTTATTTGCATCAGGTATTGTCACATCAGAACAGATATTAGTCTGAAATCTAATATGCTGGACAGTCAGTGATGTAAATGAGAGAGAAAGCACAAAAGGTTATAATGTAGTCCTTCGTTGTAGATTTACGGACCGATAACCTTTTGGGTGATGTGTCCAGAATAAGCACTCCAAATAGCCATAATGGCAATAAACGAACAGAGCGAAAAGAAGTGATATGCCAAGCAATTTCTGACGATATTTGAACAGTAGACCAGTTATCATTGTAACATCACCTCATTACTTCCGTGGTTCCATTCCATTATCCGTTTAATTTAAGTGATGGGTTTTTATTTTCCAGTATGTGTATGCTTTCTCAAACACATTTGAAACTTTTTACAGAGGCTGATGAAAATTTCTGCCATTCTTGGTGTAAATCAGTTGAATGCATTTTTTTTGTGAGGTTTTTAAATTCTTCTTCCCCCCCCCCCCCCCCCCCCTGCAGTTCACATTACTTTGTTGCATCATTTTTGATGTGAATAGGCCTTTATCATATAGTAAGTTTATAGAGATCAAAGCTCCAAGAGCTTTTGACGCACACTCTCTAAGTAGAGTGTAGAGCAGTGTCTTTTCAGCTTCCAGACTGAAAGAAAAAGCTACTCATACATATCATAGCTCATGAGGGGGGAAAAAACATCTCAATCCTCCTCCTGTGCACTACTATTTATTTATTTTTATTTCGGTTGGTCCATAAATTGCTAATTAATGATTACTCATTTGTATTCACAGCAAAAGAAGCTGCCAAGATGGAACAGAAAAAGAGACAGGTATACACAGCATGTTCACCTTTGTTTTATTCTGAGCATCACCCTGTGGATGAGTTTAAAAAAAAAACACTTTACAGATCGTACTCAATCACACAAGGTTAAAACTGTTTTTCCCTTTGCTGATTAACTTTTGTTAGTGTCTCAGTTTTATCACTGACTCACAAATGGACTGATATACAGTATTTTCCCCACACACACTGCACAGAGAAAGGCTGCCTTCATTCTCATTGTAATTTCACTGAAGCAGTCTAGAGCAGTGAAACTGGAATTATACAAATGGGATTTATGATTAATGAGAAGAGAGGCTCTTTGTTTCTCTTTGTGTCATTTCAGCACTTGTGCATCTATCATATTAATTGGAAAGTAACTATTTCAGGCTAATATAATTCCTTATCACATGCCAAATCTCAATGTCTTGATGCACTAATCTGACCCCACCTGCATTAGCGGCTGCAGTGCTGTAGCAATTTTTACACAATACTGCCAGCCAGTGTTCGATGAAAGTAAGGCAAAATAATTTTTTCTCTAAAACCACATCCAGCCATTTTTATAATTCAGCCACTTTTTATGCACTAAACAGTCATAATTTGAAAAATGCCTTGAAGTCATTAAATGTGCTGCAAAAAACTTAAGGTCAAGCTGTAATTATCAGGGATCATGGTAGAAATAAGCTGCAGCCACTCGTTTCTAACATTGGGATTTGTCAGAAATGTATGAAGAGCAGCTATTTCTGCCCCACAGCCCACATAACAGTTTTGCATCTGAATAGTAGTTTTCTCTAGTGTATAGAAAAAAAACATTAGCCCATCTGTTAGGACTACAATTTTAACAGTACAACATTTTATTGTTGCAAGTAGCATTTCTCAGACTCCTAACCACTCCACTGATTTACAAATATATATTTTTCTTCTTCTTTGCTCTTACCAAGGAAAAATAGTGAAATAGCTCTGAAATAGTGAAATTATATATTATACCTGACCATTTTTGTTGGATTTATCATTTTATTTTCTGTCTGTGTCAGTTGCAGTCTGTGGAGATGGTCTCTGAAACCTCTAACCATGAGAAGATCATACAGGTGAGGGCCATTCAACTCCATGACTGTTGCCAGTAAATTGTTCATCCTTTTGATGTTATTGTTAGACCAGGACTTGTCTTATTACAGGTGAAACTCGAAAAATTAGAATATCGTGCAAAAGTTCATTTATTTCAGTAATTCAACTTAAAAGGTGAATCTAATATATTATATAGACTCATTACATGCAAAGTGAGATATTTCAAGCCTTTATTTGTTATAATTTTGATGATTATGGCTTACAGCTTATGAAAACCCCAAATTCAAAATTAGAATATTGTGAAAAGGTTTTCATATAATATATTAGTTTCACCTTTTAAGTTGAATTACTAAAATAAATGAACTTTTTCACGATATTCAAATTTTTCGAGTTTCACCTGTATGTTCCATTTACATGTTCATTTACACATTCTTTTACCTGCATTTTTAGGGTTGTAAGACATCGATCCTAGACATTTTTTGTATTGCGAACTGTACATTTATTACAACTGTACATTTATTACAAATGAACTGTACATTTATTACAAATTACTACATTTAATGACTGTGAATTATGTACATGTGTTGTCTAGGACCTGGAGAAAAAGAATGAGAGCCAACAGGAATCTCTAAAGAAGTTCCACCAGGAACAGAGGACGCTGCTTGACAAAGTTAACATGCTTCAGCAACAACTCAGCCAGGTGTTTCTTCAGTCTTTTCATAATTGGACAATTTATTTGCAAGTCTGTGCCTTACACAGGTGTTTTCAGCATTGAAGCCAAAATACTCTTCTGTATTTATCTGAGCAGGCAGTTTTGTATTCATATTGCAGTTGTTTTGCAGACATTTTTTGTAATGCATGTTTTCTCTATCTCTCTTTCTTTCCTTTCCTTTTTCAGGAAAAGTCAACAGTGGAGGACATTCACAAGGAGGTATGTGTTGCCCTGGAAGAGACTTTCTTCTGTCCTAGTGTCATTGTCTGTTATTTTTTATTTTTTATTCCTTCATCATCTATACCTACAAATTAGTCTTGGAATTAGAAATTCACTATTTTGAATCAAAATATCTCATTCATGTGAATCGTGTAGATCTGGTGTGTGTGTGGGGGGGGGAGGGGTGTGTGGTTGGATTGCAAGCTTAATAAACCTCACAAAAATCGAAAATGGGCTAATTTCCCAATTCCCATAGACTGGAGTGAGACCAAAAATGTCTCTCTCTTGCTGCCACGATTTTTTGTGGTGTGACAGAACACTGTCGCGCCTCAGTTTAAGCGAAGTGGCAGTGTGGAGCGCACTTGAACCGATCATCTCTTCCACTTAACTAGTTACAAGACGAAATAAACATCAGAAGTTATATGTTGAAAGATACAGTAGGACTTCTCGAAATCCGAATCACGTCACATGTAATCGCTCAATTGGTTTCAACCGCGGAAAGGCATCAATAAAACAGCTCTTAAATAATGTCATATAATGCCACATTTACCTCAGAAAATTCAATGTTCAAAAACGTTAGTCAGCAAGAAAAATGTACTTAAGAGATGAGCATTTTGCTATATATATGCTCAATATTGCACATTCGTTGTATTTTTACCTGTTCTTCAATATTAATGTATGTTGGAATATGTTTTATGACAGCCAACATTTAAATATAAAAAAAAAATTGTAGAAACATAATTGTCATTAAAAATGTATTATAACGTTACTATAAAAACTTTTTTATGTGTAATTTAAATGTAAGTAGCCTACCAATCAATTAATTGTAATCCTTAATACTATAATGATGTACCAACTGGGGTTTCCTGTATAGTTTACAGCATTAGATGAGTGATATATTTTTTTAGATATATTTGAGGTAATTAGCCATGTACTGTGCTTGATAGGCCCCAAATTAGTCAATATTGAAACAAAGTATATTGAATTGCTAGCTTGTGAATCAAAATTGAATCCAATTGTGAAATTTGTGTCAATTCCCAGCCCTAGTGTCAATAAATGTTTTTTTTTTTTTTTTCTTGTTCAAATGTTGTCTTTTCCCTTTATTTTCTTGTCAGAGTGCACCAGAATGCTTTGTTTACATGTTAAAATCACAAAAACTTCTCCTGGGGGAGAATGCCTCCTGACCACCCAACAACAATATAGTTCGTAACCATGTCACCTTTTTCTCCTCCTCTGAGTTTTCAGGGCTGATTATCCTATCATAGTTTTAATGGTTTATTTGGTTTTTTTTAAGGTTGTGTGTGAGTTGCTATTGAATATGCATGTGTATCTGTTTTGTACACCAGAGAGAGCAGCTGAAGCATTTACTTTCTGCCAAAGAGAAAGAAGAAGGAGCCCGGGCCATAGAGACTGTGAGAGTCCAGCAGCGGAGCCATTTGGTTAGTTAAAATCTTTGCAAGATGCTCATCAAGGGCTGCTGCTTGTTAACTCCAGATCCAGAAACTCATGATTAAAGTGATGAAATGATGAACAAATCTGCATGTTTTTATTTTACAGGGAGATTACCCTGGCCAGTCCGTGATCAAAGGTGATTTTGTCTTTTAAAATCTGGGTCTTTAGTCTGTGATTAAGTACAGTATGACCTTAAAGTTAGAGACATTAATATAAACTGTGCTGATGTTGAAATTGTTAATTCTGGGTTCTTATTTTCTGCAGGAAAAGACAATGTACTAGTTCGACAGTCACACAGCTTGGACTCTGCTCAGGTGAATTTAAATTTCTTTAAATTCTTCTTAATCACCATAAACACCAAAAAATTCTACTGATGCCAAAAACAAATTCTTTTTATATTAAATTATATATTAGCTATTTATATAACTAATAAATCATTTACTTGGTGTAAACCAACTCCAAAACAAACAATTAAACAAACAAAGGACTTTTTACTGAAACTACTGTGATTAAAATTGCTGACCTTGTTCCAATATTCCAACCCTTGTCAATTGGTAATAAAATATGTGTGTATATCAAACATTGTCCATAAGTAAATATATCTTAAGAGATATTAAGAAAGAGGGTAACACTTTATGCATGAAACATGTATACCATAGGCACTGTTAAGTAATTACTAATAAAATAATATAATGAATTGCTATAAAATAACAGTCTGTAACATTCAGGTCTACAAAATGGTTGCACTGTGCGTAAATGCAGTTTAATGTTTTTACTCAGTATGTACTTGGGTTAATACCCAGGAACTAGTCAGTTCAGTGTACATACACAGATATTTATTTGTCTGATTTCCTTCATGAAGTCCAACAACAACATCAGACTACAAGTGCAAAATCAAGAAATAATTCTAAAGGTTTGCTCAGCACGCACAAGGTTCCCAAGGTTTGGAATTTTACTTATGTTCACTAATGCAGCGAGCAGGCTGTCTATGTCAGCTGTGTTAAGCTTAGGAGAGGAAGTCAGATAAGTTGCTCTCTCTCATTTCATTTCAAAACCTCCATAGCCTGCAGCGTCAGACAGGTTTTTGATTTATTAGCACTATTCTCTGAAGGGATATAATATACCTGGGTTCAGCTTTTGGGCAGATGTGGTGGATGCAATTTTGTTGTCACATAGCACCAGAGACGACTTTACTCTCACCTACGTTAGAGGTCACTACACGTTTTAAAAATATGAAAATAGGCACCTGCTAAAGTAGGATCAGATGTTTGACTTGGTAAGTGCCCTAGATAAAGTTTTCTTTGAAAGTTTTAAGCCCTTGTTATGAACCCATGTGAGAAAAAAATATGGGAGCCATCAAATCTTCTATTCCTCAACAGAATGCCGGCCATGGATTTTTACAGACTAGATTTAATTTCCCTAATTTCTTGTTCTTATAGTAATGAGGAGAAAGAAAGCTGTTTAAAATAAAAATAGGCTCTTTCCAGTCTTTTCCCATTAAGCTTAGTTACTATCCACTCAGTATTCTGACAGAATGTTTTTGTGCACAATAATTAATGCCCGCTTGTGTTTGAATTCAGATCTTGCCGTCTACAGGACCATCTCGATCTGTGGCTCGACCTTTGGAGCTGTCTCGGCCGGTGCCTGGTGATCCTGAGTCACCTCGACAAGAGCTTGAATGTGTCCGCCGACAACAAGATGCTGCACAAGAGGAGGTTGGCCGCCTCCAAAAGGCTCTAGCATGCAGGTCCCAGGAGTGCGAGGAGCTGACCAGGAAGTGTGAGGCCATCAAACATGAGTCGGACCAGCAGGTACATGAGCTGGAGGAAGCCATGGGAGATGTGCAGAAGCGAATGATAGATTCTGAGGCAAAGGTGAAACAGCTTCAGGCTCATGTGGTGGCAGTAAAGGATCATCTCAATAACCAAGTTGTTGATGACCTCAAAGCACAGCTCAATGAGATGAAGGCAAAATACGAGGGAGCTTCTACCGAGGTTGGACGGGTCAGGAACCATTTGAAGCAGAGTGAAAAAGCATTGGAGGAGTATAAAAAAAGTGAAGGACTTCTGGCTGTGGAGGTTGAGAGGCTCACTGCAGAGCTAAGCGCAATGCAAGAGGACCATAAAGTCATGGAGGAGACGCTCTTAAACATGGAGGGTCAAGTGAAGACTACAGAGGTCAGGTTGACGTCAATGGTTCCCGGAGAGAAGTTTGACAACATGAAGAACCTCTTCACCAATGCTGTGGATGAGAAGGAGCTGCAGTTGGCTGAGTTAAGGGAAGATTATGACCGTGTGCTGGAGGAAGTGGCAGAGCTCCACCGTGTGATGGACGACCGACAAACTGTCCCCTTGCAAGAGCATGAGCGAGTCCGGGCTGCTCTTGAGGAGCAAAGCTCAACCCTGAAGAAGAAACTTGCTGATGTCACTGTAAAGTGTCAGTCATTAATATGTGAAGTTGAGGAGGGTGAAGATGAGAGAGAACTGCTCAGAGAGGAGCTGCAGGAACTCGGCAACAATCTGAAGACCAAGTTTGTGACCTTAGAAAACCATGAGGAGGTGAAGAGGTCTATGGGACTCGCTGTGGAGGAGTTGAGGATTAGGTTAACAGAGGAGACGGAGAGGAGAAAGCATGCTGAGGAGAAGCTACAGAGGCTGCACGAGGAGAAGACCTCTCTCTGTGAGAACATTACCAACCTGAAGAGCACGTACATCCCCTGTGAACGTTATGAGAGCGAGATAGCTGCACTCACAGAACGCAACACAGATCTGGAAGGAGATCTTAATAACCTTCAAGATCAGTACCAGGAGAAAGTCAATGAAATTGAGATTTTGGCAGCTGAAAAAGCAACTCTGAAGCAGAACTTTGACATTGAGTTTGTAACAAAGAAGGAGTATGAGAGTGTGCAGATGGTGTTAGATGAGGCTTTGGAGAAAGCTAAGATTGAAATCGCAAAGTTGGAGGGTTATTGTAGACTTCGGGATGAGGAGTTACAGAAGGCGAAAGAAGGAAATGCTAGGTTGAAAGAAGAGTTTGAGAATGTGCAGGCCAAGTTAGCAAATGACTATATCAGCCTTGTGGAACATGAGATATTCAAAAGCACAATGAGCAAAGCGTTATCAGAAGCAGAGGGACGAGCTAGAGATGCCTACTCAAAGTACCAGTGTGCTCAAGAGAGCGCATCAAAACTACATGAGGAAATTGAAGCACAGAAGAAAGAGTTGGATACTATTCAAGAGGCATTGGAGTTGAAGTTTGTGCCATTGACTGCTATGGAGGAAAAAGAGATGCATTTCAACACCACTTTGAAGGACTTAGCAGATAAACTTGCTGAAATGCAGGGGATGTACAATGACGAAAAGACCAAAGGGGAAAGCCAAAGGCTAGAGAATGAAAAATTGAAAGAAGAGATGGTGCCTCTGCAGCAAAAACTTGAGATGGGGCTTGTGTCCCGCGAGAAGTACAAAGAAGTGGAGGACCGCTGCAAGAGCCAGGGGGAGGAGCTGAGTCTAAAGTTGGTGGAGCTGGAGCAGCAATATAAAGAGGTTACGATCCAGAGAGCTGAACTAGAGGAGCAAAACGCCTTGTGCAACTCTGAGATCCAGAGTCTCCAGAAGAAACTGAACAGTGAGTATATCCATCTGGATCAGTTTGAGGCCATGCAGAGCTCTCTGAGTGGGAGCCTGCAGGAGGCGCAAAAGGAGTGCAAGTGCTTACAGGAAGCTCATAAACTGGAAGTCCAGCGTGTTCATGAACTAGAGAAACAACTCCAGAGTCAGAGCTGTGATGAGATCCAGTATAGCCAGGTTAAAGAGGCTCTTGAGCGTGAGGTCAACAAGCTTCGCTTGGCACTGCAGGATGAGGAAGAAACCAGCGCGCAGAGGGCTGAGGATGTAGCCACTCTACAGACTGAGCTCCTCAGAGCCACACACGCTCTCGATGACCTCCGCAGCTATGAAGAACAGGTGACCGAGCTCAGAGCTGAAAAGCACAAGCTTGAGGAGAAGGTGTGTGAACTTGGCGACCGGCTGTCAGGACTGGATGAGCAATATGAGGATCTGTACAGGGAAACAACCCAGGCCAGGGAGGGTGAAAAGAGGGCGAGAGCTGAAACCGAGGCCCTGCAGATAAAAAGTGCCTCCATTGAAAAGGAGATCAGAGATCTGAAAGAGAGATATGAGGAATCGCTCCGCACCATTGGAGAACTACAGAAGAGGATTCAAGCGTCCTCAGAGCAGACTGAGCTTAAAGACAAAAGGGTGAGAAGGTTATACTCATTTGTTATAAATGAAGTGTTTTTTCGATAAGTGCCTGATATTTTGTCTGATTATAAAGCAAGGCGTTCTCTGTTTCAGATTACAGAACTGTTGGCAGATGTTGAAAGGCTGAAACAGGCTCTGAATGGCTTATCCCAGCTGGCTTATGCTGGCAACACTCCCAACAAGAGACAGACTCAACACATTGACACACTCCAAGCCCAGGTCAAGAGCCTCCAGCAGCAGCTGGCTGTGAGTAGCTCTGTTCATATGCACATACAGATGGATTAGTTTGCCCTCAAATATTACATGCCATCACCTTGGACTAAAAAATACACCCACTTACTAACTGACTTGCGTATATAATACAAATATAATATAAATCATAATCATAATATTTAAAAATAACTTGGAGTGATAGAATGGACTGAGGGACCGATTTCATTCTCCCTCAGGTTATTTCAGCAGTAATTGGATTATATTATTAAGTTGTCTTCCAAGATTTGGTGTTATACTGAATTAAATGGCCTCCTTTTACTTAAAGCCTAGGGTAGGCAATGCTTTGCATAAACACTTTTTGTTATCCTGGTTGAAACTCTCTTGCTCATAGCAATTAATAATAGAAGTGGTCTAGGGATGCACCGATCCACATTTTTTCACTTCCGATCCCGATACCTGAATTTGGATATCGGCCGATGCCGATTCTATTCCGATACCAGAGCTGTTTGCTTTAATATTATTATTATTATCATTATTGTTGATTTTATATGATGCTGAAATAAACTCCTCTCAACAGGCAAGTATGATATGTACGTATGTATGCATGTATGTCCCAAAAGGCAACTTTAGGTAAGTATAAGGTCAGAAAATCAGGAAATCCTGTTAACAGGAAAAATCCCATTCTGAAAACAAATATGCAACTGTAAGGGTTTCAAATTGATTGTCATGTCAATATTTATTACATTCCCAAAATGTCAAATACTTGAGTCTTGAAATATAAGAAACGTGCAAGTGTAAACATCTTACACACACACACTATCAATAAAACAGTGTACATCTGAACAGCACAAATCAAGTAAACTGGCTCTTGTAGCATCAACAAATCAAGGTTTTAAAATGTCAAATATTAGAAATATAAGAAAAGTGCAATAACTGTAAACATCTTAAGGCCCTTGCACACTGAGTCCGAAATCGTATTCGTGATTGGGTGGCTCTGAATTGTCAAAACACCATTCAAACTCCATTCAAACTGCTTGCTACAGATGCGAAAAACGCAGAAAATCGAACCCGATTCGATTTTATTTTATTTTTTTTGACGGACGAAAGTTTCAGTGGCAGTGTGCAAGCGTGATTGACATAACGTGAGGATGTATTTATTTTTTAACGTGCGAAAATTTCTGACGCGAATTTCGGACTCAGTGTGCAACACACATAGCCTGACTACGTCAGACTTCATACTTCCGCTCAATTTCAGTTCGCTTCTGTACTCAGTCTGAGATAGCGACCTATCTGTTTTCCTCCGGCCTGAAAACAGCCGGCCAATCAACGAACAGAGAGCGGGGTGAGAGCCGTGATGTAGACGCTAAGCGCTGAGTTTAAGAATAGGCTTGTTTGAGATGAGCCTTGCCTCGCCTGAAATGTAGTCGAGAGTAGGCGGTTGCAGTGAGGGGAGGAGTGAAAAATGTGCAGGCAAGCCGGACAGATCTCTCTTCTCGCAGTGGATCAGACACCTGTGAGATCAAAGACTGATATCGCGGGATTTACGCCTGTGCACGGTGTTGCTAATAAACTGGATGTAATTTAAGTTCTGTTGCTTTTATATGAAAATAAATATAATAAACAAGACACCCAAAGTACTTACAGTATTTAATTCCATTCCAAATACATGTTTATCAATAATTTTTTCTTTAATACAATGTTTTTTTATTTTTATTTTTTTAAATAAAAATTACATTGCATAACCCATCGCACTGTCAGAGAGTTTGGGAATATTCACACATAACGTATACACAAAAATTGTTTTTATCAGAGTTTTGAAAATTAAACATTTTATAAGAGAGCAATACATCACGGTTGTTTAAACCAATGAGCATTAAGCTGTGTCGTCAGCAAGTTGTTTCCCATCGTGCTTTTGATCAGTGCAGTCGGTGGAGAGCAACTGCGCGCGACTGCAGAATCCGACTCGTGCGCCTTGCGGTCGCAAGAGTTTTTTGACATATGTCAGCATGACATCAGAGCAAGGCGGACCGCACTCGGACACATTTCTAACCGGCATGCATCTCGCGGTGAGCACCGGTGATCGGTTCTGCGCAGATTTTGCTCATCTCAAACAAGCCTATTGTATTTTAGGTTAGGGAAATCGAAAACGACCGCGGATATGGAGATACGGGATGCAATTCGCTCTGTTGTGGAGAATATTCCCGGCATTTGCAAACTGAAGCCCGAACAAGAAGAGTGTTTGTTAAAGATTTTGAATGGAGGTGATGTTTAAGTTGGAGAGAGAGGTGATTGCGTTATGTGATTGGCTTACGGGTAACCAATGATTTTATACTTCAGACAAGCGCCCCCCCGCGAGAAAGAAAACACTTTTCAATTATGCCATTCCAGACTCTGTCTACGAAGCAAAGCGAAGTAGCAGAGTTTGGTATTACCAGGCTACAACACACACACACATACACACACGCACTCTCTCTATCAATAAAACGGTTCCCGTTGTCTTTTGGCCCCCTGGCTAAAAAATCCTCGTGCTCTTTAACGTGGTCCTTTTTTAAATGTTTGATTGCGTTCGTTGTGTTGACCGACGCGAGGGAGCTTCCAGCTCTCTGAATCACGGCTTTGCAAACATTCCATTTTGCTGTCTTGCTCTGCGGTGTTTCCAGTGTGAAGTATTTCCACAGCGGACATAATGCTGCTCAATGCTTTCCTGCTAGCTGGCTGCAAACTGCGGAATGGATTTCCTGAGCGGAGGCGTGTCTCATTGAGCCGCGCCTCCGTTCAGGAAATCCATTCCACAGTTTGCAGCCAGCTAGCAGACTAGCCGGCGGGAATCACTTTTGGAGTCATTTCAGCAGACAACGTTAAAGCGCAGACATGGCTCATGGATATCGGATATCTCCGCAGGTTGGATCGGGAAAATCCAATACGTGAATTACGCTGGTATCGGTCCCGATACCGATACTGGATCGGATCGGCCCCATCCCTGGTCTAAAATTTTTTAAAAAATTACATCTTCTGTGGGAGTCCCAGAACCAAAAAATGTTCGTCCAATCATTGCATTCGGTCCAAATGCAATAATAGGATGTCTTACCTGCCTGTCAAGATATGTATTTCCATACCTCCACGCTCCCTGATCTCGCAGACATCACAACGTCATCAGCGCGTTCTGTAAGGCTATGCAGAGTTGTAGACAGACATCACTGAGCGCCAGAAAGAAACAGCATCCACCTTTTACAGTTCCTCATGAACCAAAACAACAAGCTTATGCTGCGTTCACGCTAGGGCTGGGCGGTATATCGAGTTTGTACGATATATCGATATAATTTTTTTAAATGATATGGAATGAGGCAATACCGTTTATATCGATACAGTAGTTTGATATGAGCACATCTGAAAAATAGCGGAGGTCGCAGTTTGAGCTGCTGCAGTGAAAGTAGCTACATAGTACAATTTGTCCTAAACATGACACAAGCTTATATTAAAGGAACACTCCGACTTTTTGGGACTTTAGCCTATTCACCTTATCCCCCAGAGTTAGATAAGTCCATACATACCTTTTTCATCTCCGTGCGTGCTATAAGTCTGTTTGACGCACCCACCGCTAGCCTAGCTTAGCACAAAGACTGGATGTAAATGGTTGCAGCTAGCATACTAATCCAAATAAGTGACAAAATAGCGCAAACATTTTCCTATTTACATGTTGTGATTTGTATAGTCACAGAGTGTACAAAAAACAAAGTCACATGAGACACAGACATATTTTAACCGTATAAATACTGGGAACTATATTCTCTGAAGGCGAAGCACTGCTACTTGGGCGGAGTAATAACCGCAGCACCTGAGACGTGCCGTGGTGAGGAGCAGAGAGTTCGTTCAGAGTTTGGGTACGGTACGTCTCAGGTGCTGCGGTTATCACTCCGCCCAAGTAGCAGTGCTTCGCCTTCAGAGAATATAGTTCCCAGTATTTATACGGTTAAAATATGTCTGTGTCTCATGTGACTTTGTTTTTTGTACACTCTGTGACTATACAAATCACAACATAAAAATAGGAAAATGTTTGCGCTATTTTGTCACTTATTTGGATTAGTATGCTAGCTGCAACCATTTACATCCAGTCTTTGTGCTAAGCTAGGCTAGCGGTGGGTGCGTCAAACAGACTTATAGCACGCACGGAGATGAAAAAGGTATGTATGGACTTATCTAACTCTGGGGGATAAGGTGAATAGGCTAAAGTCCCAAAAAGTCGGAGTGTTCCTTTAAGGGCTTCAAAATAACTGGTAAGATATAGTTAACAAGTTTAAAGCAGCTTGTCCTGTAAGATGCTCTGACAGATACTGTTGCTGACTGACAGATAAATACTTGTGCTGTTTAATGCGTTTGAGATGTGGTGCTTTCCTCAGTGCTCAACTTACATTTCACAGGTATATTCTCTATCTGTAAATGTTAGAAAGTCAAACAAATATGTCCATTTCACTGTCAGGAGAGGACGAGCTTCTGCAAGTGAATCTCCGCTAAAATTCAAGCTTTCGTGAACGAGCGCCGCTGCGCGCATGCGCGTCAAACAGACGGAGCACAATATAGAATATTAGCGCAATAATTCTGACTAAAATAAACATATTGCTAAAATATTTGTTGTTGGAGACAATAAATATGCCACATGTGGAATTTTAAACCTACAAGTATATTTTTATAGCCTGGATGCCAGCCCGAACCCCGCCCACAACATTTTTTGGTCTGGAAGTTCGGTCTGGACTCGATCCATTGAGGAGTAATTATGATCGGTTCAGAAATTGTCGGGCCAATCAAATTGCCAGGGTGGGCTTTATACGATGATGGACAGATGATCTGCGGTTACGTAATCATCACGTTATAAAAGAGCTCTTGGGTTGAACTGGTTTCCCTCAAAGGTGACTGCAGCTGGAGAATTGAGATGTATAGATTCCGCTATCGCGTCTGTTGTAAAAGAAATCCACAGCGCATTAATTTTAAAAGACGAACAGAGAACTGTAATCAAGGCATTTGTCGATCGGAAAGATGTGTTTGCCGTCCTTCCTACGGGATTCGGCAAAAGTTTAATTTTATCAGCTGGCTCCGATGGTCACTAAGAATATGGGACGCAATGAAAACCCTGTTGTCGTTGTGGTTTCTCCTTTGGTCGCACTCATGGAGGACCAAGTAAAAGAAGCAACACTCATTATTTTACTACTTCTTCCAGCGTGCGTGCAGTTGAGTTCTGTTGACAACTATGCGTAGCTCAACATACATCACTTACTGCGTTGCTCTGATTGGTTGTAGGTCTATCCAATGGAGTGCAGAGTTTTTTTTTTCTGGTTCGGTTAAGACGCCTCATAATCAAAGCCCTATGGAGCAGTATCAGACTCACATTCTGACTAGAATATGAGTATGACGAAGTCAGGCTAATATTTTTATGAAAGTGACCATTATAATGGGGTAATCAAATGCAGGCTAATATAATTAGTTTGTGCTTTTGTTTTTGTTTTTATTTTATTTTTAGTTTAGCCTTTAGTCAATTTAAAAACAAAATCTTTTTGCACATAATATATTGCATAGCCTACATTCACTATATTTGTTTCCATATCCTTCAATATCGCATTGTTTGTAGGATATCATTGGGCAGAATGTGAAATAACATTTTTTTTTTAAAGAAATACAGATTTTCTTTATCCAAATAGAAAACCGTAGAAAGTACAGAGATATATATCGTATATCGCCATTTAACCAAAAAATACCGAGATATGATTTTTTGGCCATATCGCCCAGCCCTAGTTCATGCCATGTCGTAATTACTGAACGTCCGGGGAGGACGTATGTGTTTCTATGGCAACACTATCAACGCCGAAATGAATCTGCAGCTGTCAGGTGGTACAAGTCAACGCTCTTTAAGTTGTTTACAGTCAAATCGTAATTAACCAACAGCAGCTTTTATACCCGAGTGGAGAAGCAAAGCATTTGAGTCACGCACAGACCACACACTATGCATCTCCGATGGAAGACAAGAACTTAATCTAAAAACTTCACAGGACACATATCTTCATCTCTGTAAGTCACCGTAATGAAAACCCGCTACACACACAAGACATGCTTGTGTGCAGTGCAGAGTGGTTCTTTCAAACTGTATGATTCGACAGACAACTAGTTGTCCAGTCCAGTTCACACACCAGGAGTTTGCAGAGAATGCGGTTGTGAGTCGTGAAAATGTACAGGTATGAGTTCAGTGATAGAATGCGGTCGTCACTCCCGTAATTAACTAAACTGTCTGTGTACAACCATATTAAGGAGTCAAATACAGGACTGACAACCATATTCAATTACTGTGTGAACAGCCTTGGCTACCTCTGGTGCTCGGTACAAGCAGCTGCATTGCTAGTTTGTAAAAATGGCAAAAAGTAAGAATTCAGAGGAGCATAAAAAAATTCAGTGACTGGACTGACACACACACAACAATAAAGAGGTGTTATGCTCAGGTGGAAACTTAACCTCATAGTGAAAGCCATGCACAATTAATTCCATATTGAAACCTATTGTTAGACCTATTGTTAAACCTAAATTTTGTTACCTATTGTAACAAAATTACCTATTGTTTGTTGCTTTTTCTCTATTTTTCTCTATTATCTCTATTGAGTTGGCTATGGACCTAAATAATGTAATTGTTATTGCATTGGCTCTTAAATACAGGAAAAAATACATTAACGAAAAATACATTAAAAAAAACGAAAAAAGGTTTCCGACCCCTGATGTAGGTTTAGAATAGATGAACCCAATGTGTCCCAGCCCCCTACTTTACTTTCATGTTATGTTTGTGTACATGTGTGTCATCTCAATTGCTTAGTATTTTGTGTTACTGAGGGTGCATTGTGTTTACAAACACATTGAGACCATCTAACCTTGCAAGATCTTATTATATAATGCATGTAAAACACTGCCTGATATGTCCTGTCTTTTCCCATCTAAACAGGATGCTGAGAGGCAACATAGAGAAGTTGTATCAATTTATCGAACTCATCTTCTCAGTGCAGCACAGGTAATTGTACATGAATGTGTGTTGAGTGTGAAGGTTTGTTTTCCTTTGCAGTAGCATTTCCTTATATTTTGCTCCTATAACAAGGCCATTCATACCTCTTCGGTATATTATAGCGCATGGTCTTCTGTGTACCACAGATGACATACAGAGATCAACAGTACTGTTATAGTAAGACATTATAAAAGTGTACAGGTCATAACATGTAGTTGCATAGAAGCTTCTGATGCAATTCTGAAGATGGATTTATCCTGACTGAACACCCATGACTTGTTTTCTTTCAGGGTCACATGGATGAAGATGTCCAAGCTGCCTTACTGCAGATCATTCGAATGAGACAAGGTTTTGTGTGTTGAAGTCAACACACCGAGACCACACTGACTCCAATTCATCATTCACACAGTAACCTCCCATTCAGCTCAGTGCAGTTTTATACTGTTCTGGAGCACTTCACTCAAAAAGTCAAGTTTTGTAATGTTTGATATGTTCTGATTAGGTTCGGTGTTGTACGTTCTAACTGTATGAAATATAGTATCTGTAATAGTGACAGTACTAAATATAGCACTAGGGATAACTAAACTCGTCAAAAAAACACATAAATCATAAACATGAGAGGCAATGGATAATTATTTAATCATAATTAAGCATATTGACTTAACTATGTATGTTATTGCTACATGCTATAGAGTCAATGAGAAGTACAGGATGTTGTGAAGATGTAAACTGCACATTCAGTGATTGAGTCTCATGTACCTCCTTATTTCATGTTGAAATAACCTAACTACAGTTTAAAGAAGAACATTCCCTCCCTCCATGCTTTTAGCCTCGATCTAAGCTACGTGTGGTGTATTAATAAGGGACGCAGCCCTTTAGAGAGATTTTAACATGCTGTTTCAGTCCAGCATTACTGTGTCCACTGCAATGGTTGAAGTAATGATCTGGTTAGGCGAAATAGATCTTTCAACACTAGGGAAGTTAGCTTAAAGGCTTTAGTGGAGTGGTGGGCATAGAGGCATTTCCTGGGCCGTCTGTGTTTTATGAAATGCCAATGGCATAGTGGTTGAATATCCTGCTCAGTAATAATATTACATTTTTATCACATGTAAGCTTATGCTCATACAGTGTACAGTAACCGAAGAGTACCACAGTAAAAATCGTTGGTACACTTGTTTTGGAGGGTCCCAAAATTGTTATAGTCCAAAGACATCATGAAAGATCAGAGCACATTACTGCAGCTTCATCTTACACGTATCTTTTGCAGTTTTAACTTGTCCATACACTGGATCATTTGTTTCAAATGCGTGTGATGTATTTGAGTCAGTGAGTGTCTATTGGGTTGGGTGATATAGGAGGGAGTAGTTCTTTAATAAAGTGTTTATGTAAAATTGCTTTGCCTCTGCAGTGACAACAGCAGACCACATCTCATGGATGATCGAATGAGCAAAGAATTTAACACTGAGGACTTTCATAACACTCTATCCTTCATGTTCCTGTATCCTGGCTGATATCGCCATCTAGTGGTGTGACTTGGCTGGCCAAGTTTGATGTGTGCTTTTGTGTAGGAGAATGTGATGCATTTAGGAACTCTCCCTTTTGATGCTTTCCAAATATGAGATATCACCTTTTACATAGCTTTGTACTACTTTTGATTAAGGAACACCATGTTTGTGGTAACTATTACAGAATTCAGCAGGACTGGAATGGAAAGGCACAATAATCTGCTCAGGTTTCAGAACATGACTGTAGACTGACATACTTTATACTTTGTGGATCCGTTTTTTTTTCTTTTCTTCTAAACTGTCATTTTTAAGTCAAATTATCCTTTGAGTTTCCAATCATATATTCTAAAATTAATTAGAGTTCCCAATCATGGCTTTTCAGTATTTGATTTATTTTAAAAACACCATGCACTGTAGTGCCGTTTGGTTTGATTGGAATTAACTGATGAACTGTTGGTTCTCTTTGTCGGGAATGCCTAATTGTAATGGTTTCATTATTTATTAGTATTACATTCTAACTGCTCTTATGGTTATCAGTTAGTCTGCATTTCCTTCATGAACATTTTCTCTTTTCTTTTTTCTTTTTGTTTTGCAGAATTTTGAGTCTAACATCAATAAAAGTGCCTCTTTTAGACTAAACTGGCTCTGTGCAAATGAAAAAGATTAATCCAAGCAGTCTCGTAGTGTCATGAGGTGAACCTTGCCGTTGGCAGGCCTTTCCAGCCCCTCTCGCTCTCCTTGAAGTGAACGCACATGTTGTTACTTTAAATCCAATCAGATCAAGATTGAGAGCTTTTTTCCTCATGTGGTTTGCATTGATTTGTACCTTTGTCTTTATAAATCTCATTTGAAAGGTACGTTAAACACTAAGAAAATACTGGGGGTTTTTTTCTTCCCATAAAGGTCATAGTTTTTTTCTTATTAAACTAAGGTCAGAGTAAAAAAATTAACACTCCAACAGAATCAATTTTGTTTCCCCCTCTTAGTTTCTACAATGTGCTTTAGTAAGTCACTAGTCTCTATCATTTTATGTAGTCTCAGTCACTTATGCAAGAAGGTAATTTTCTTAAGCTCTAAACTCATCCCACACCTAATTAATTTCACATTTTTGTATATTTGATTGCTTAAATGACTACCCTTCCTCAGCAGTGTATAGTTTTTATGAGTCTGTTATTTGTGGCCTGCCCTGCATAAGCTGTTCTCAGCAATTATGGCAAATACAATTCAATCTGTTTGGAGCTTTCCCTTTAATCTCATTTCCAGGACCATAAGCAGAACCAGACATCCTCCCATCACTCCCCTCTCTTTCCCATTCTCTCTACCATTAATCATGTCCATAAGGATCACAGTGTAACCCTGATGTTTAGCTGGCCCCCTGGTAGGTAGGTGGGGGCTGGGGGTGGGGGTTGCTTTAATGTGGTTAGTTGTTCACTCGGTAGTCTCTGTGTCATGATTCAAGCTTGCTTTTACTGCAGAGCCCTCCACGTGTCATGAATGATTTGCTCCTTTTTTATCTTTCTTGCACATCTATTTTTTTTCTAAGTTTTTTTTACCTTCCCTTTTAATAGTTTTTAACAAATGCAGATGTGCACAACATCCCGTTTTGGTCTCGTTCACCCTCCCATAGGTTGTGCTGGCTGTGCTTTCTGTATTAGTACCTTTAAAGGAATCTCATAAAAAAAAAAAAAAAAAATTCTCATTAGCCACCCTGGATCGGTCACCTCCGCTCACCCCTTTAATGTTTTTGCAGAGGTCCCTGCACTTTGTTGCCTCAATAAAGTTCATTTATAGGATAACAGGGCTCTGGAGGACACATGGGGCTGATTTCGACTAGATGGATTCAACATGTCTCCTGCCCAGCTCCTCTCTGATCCTTGCCATGTGATCCATGCCTCCCTGACCTCATCATCCATCATCTAACACCTGGGATGAGGGGAAAAAATGGTTGAAAAAATAAGAGACTCTTTTATTTTGTAGGATTTATTGGCTGGCCACAGGAGAGTCCCACTACCACCGCCAGGCCGCGGCTCTCTCTGTCCGTGGTTGGGTTTTTATGCATGAGGGAAGACCATAGAGTTGTGTTCTGCACATTTTGGCCTCCAGATCTTCCTTCTGAACAAGTTTTACCTCCATACAATTGTTTGAGGGTGAGGTGGGTTTGATTCGATCACACAGGTAAAAAAACTTGATACTGTTGAGCACATTTCAAACAGACTCTTAAACCGCAAGGTAATTGTGCAGAGGTGTTACTTCAAAGTTGAAAATTTAAACCTCCCATTTAAACGGTTACATCTGAGCTCATTGTTGTTCTTTTTCCCTCATTAGCTCTCGGTTAACCACTAATGCCTTGTGTATCAACTCATTTTTACTTTCTCCCCCTTTTCCGGTCAAACAAGAAACATGTGGTCGTCCTCTCTTCCAAGCTCAACCTCTTAATAATCCCCAGGCCTCGATGGAAAATCGACTGCATTCACATGTCTGCTAAGAGCTGACACATGGGGCTGTGTCCGTGGTTTAACAGAATAAGCATGCGGAATTGATGGTGGGCTGCTTGGAAATAGTGCTGCAACTAATGTACTTTCTTGACTTTTTTTTTTTTTTTTACCATTTGGTTTTGTCTGCTTTTCTTGCTCTGTGGTGCAGGCCTGTGGTACTTTACAAGCTTGTTAAGAGGTAAATTGAGGGGAAAGGTGAGGAGAGCGTTATGGTTTCCCTTTTTGGCCGTCTTTGCTATACTTTCATTTTGTTAAGGACCTCAACTGGTTGACAGTCTGAAGTCACAGAAGAGAACATTCATTCATGCAGACTTTAGAAGAATTTATACATAATGGTCTAGGAACTAATTTGTAAGAGTCTTTATAATAGAAAAGCACCAATGTTAAAATCCTGGTAGATGCTAATAAACTGATAAATGGCAGATATTAAAATGTATACATACAAGTGTAAAATATAAATTTTGTATTTGTAACAGGTGGCTTTATATAGAGCGCATGAAAATGAAGAATGCAAGGAAATGGTCAAATTCAATAATCCACAGAATACAGGGTGGTACCATTTTTTTCTGAGATTGCAAATATTAGCCTGCACTATTAAACACTATGTAATATTGGAGATTTATTATTAACATTTATTGTTATTATCAATGTTGAAAACAGTTGCTTTATATTTTTATGCAAACCATGATACTTTTTTTCATGATTCTTTGTTGAAAAGAAAATTGAATAGAACAGAATTCATTTTAAATGGAGAAATATTTTATCAAAAACATTATACATCTCTTTACTGACACGTTTGATCAATTAAATGTGTTCTCGCTAAATAAAAAATATTTTTGAACAGTGTGTTTATAAGTAGGCCTATACAGTGTATAAGTATTAGTGTACACACACATATTATGATAAATTTAAAACGTTTCTAATATAGTTTTTTATAACCAATATGCTTCTGATATATTGTGCATATACAGTTTGCTTGTGGTAACCATATACTGCCAATGACTTTAATTGCACGATCGCGTCATTGAACCAATGAACCAAGACGCTTTCTTGCTGATCATCCTCTACTGACTTGCGTTAGCTTGTCTTTTCATTTTGCAGTCCTTTGCACCCAGCTCTCAGTGTTTACTTCCTTCATTTAATAGGCCTACCTCCGGCAGCCAGGGTGAAGGTGCGGTTATAGAGGTGTTTGAAATGGTTAATGTTCCTGGAGAGTTTCCTGCTAGCAGAACATAAGGTATTAGTTTATTCCTTACTCATTAGGCTCACAGTCAAAGTGCTTTGGGCAAAAATCAGGGCTGTGACTGTCGATCATTAGCGTTGAAAATGTGCATTTGTTAGACAAAGCCGCAGTCACACAATCCAATTAAGACATGAAAGCCTCCGTCTCCTAGGAAGGAATTCACAATACATAAACAGGCTGTAAAGTGGAAACTTACATCTGCATTTGTTTCTTTTCTTGAAATTCAGCCACATTTGGTAAATTTTAACAAACCCTTGTTGAACAATCTGGAAGAAAAAAAGGATAGCTAAATTAATACCATGTGT